AAAGAACTTTCCACCTGCTTCTAAATAGCAGAGGAGCCAAGTCTATGTAATGAGAAAATTTCATTACAGTGGAAACTGTCTTGCACACGTTGTTTTCTTCCGTGGTCTGGTAACTGTGCTCCCAGGAGAGCGGGTTGGACTTCCCAGGATGTGCTACATCAATGATGCCAGTGCCAACCTGATCCCCAGAGAACCTGAAATCTCACTGATCTGTAATGTGTTCTGCTTGATTGCTGAAACAAACAGAAGGCCCTCCCGTAGCCCCCATGAGAGGAAGACTTGAGCTGGCATCCCTACGGCTGTGGCCTCTCCACACGGGGAAGTGAACCCTCCCTACTTTGGATAATGCTTCTGAAGCCACCAGCATTTCTTGACAGTGCTGGCTCAGAGAACTTTCTTTCTTTGTTCTGTGGGGGTTGTCATTTGGGGTTCCATGTCTGGCCACAACCAAACAGCAAGGGAAGTGTGTCTCCACAGCTGCCCAATATGCCCTGAGACACATGAAAATTAGGCTGTACTTAGGACGTGTCCGCACAGTATCGTGGGAGAAATTGTGTTATTTTCCCGAGTGGCTGCTCTGAGGCTCTTTCCCACTTCTGGCTGGGATTATTGCCACAACCTCCTAACGTTCTTCCTGCTTTCTCCCTCGTTCCCTCAGTCTGTTCAGAACACAGTAGCCAAAGTCATGCTGTTCAGACCTAAGTCAGATCATGTCACTGCTCAGCCCAGAACCTTCCAAAGGCTTCCCACCTCACCCAGAGTAAATTAAAAGACAAAATCCTCATGATGACCTATAAGACCTGATTCTAACCTTATCACCTACTACTCCTCTCTTGTGTCCACTCTGCTCAGCCACACCGGCCTCCTTGCTCTGCCTTAGGCACAGATCTTGCCTCAGGGCTGCCCCTCTTACTTTCTCTTTGCCTGTCTGCGTACCTTGACCCTCACATACTCTAGATTTGCTCCAGTGTGATCTTCTCAAAGATACCTTCTCTGACCCCACCTAACCCACCAGCATCCTCTCCTCCACTTCCTTGCCTAATGTTTCACCCTAGGATGTATCAACATCTAATGTACTATAAGTTTCACTTATTTTATTTTATTTATTGTCTCCTCTAGACGAACAATCTCTGGGAGCAAGGATTTTTGTCTAATGTGTTCCCTGTTGAATCCCCAAGATCTAAAGTGTTGTTTGATACGTAATAAGCACTCAGCAAATAGATGTTCAGTAAATGAATTATATCATTTAATTCTCTCAACAAATGTGGGAAGCAGATTCTGCTATATCCATCTCAGAGACAGAGAAAATAAGGCTTAGAAAGGTTCAGTGACTTGCCCAAGGTTACACTGGTGGTCATCGATGTTTCTTCGGCTTGACCACAGGGCATCATTTTACTGCTGCTTCTGCCCTAACACCAGGTGTCCTGAAGTCGGTAGGTGTCAGGGGTAGTCCTGCTGCCTCTAATAAGCCCCGGTGCCTTCCACACCAATTCCCACACACTGAAGTCATCAGCATTTCTGCCGTAGCTTTTCTTGGGCCTTCCAAAGTGGAGAGCCATAGTTTTCAATGTTGTTAACTCACTCTCTGTCCACCATGGACCAGTGAGATAGGAACACTCCTTTAGCCCAGTCAGATACTTAAAAGAAATCCTGTAAATGAGAACATTCTAAGTAGACTTTCTTTAGCATAGTGGGTATGAAATGCACTTTATAAAGATTTCTTATTGTATGTTTTTCCTGACCACTCCAGATAAGAACTTTGACCCTGAACTCAGAAAGTCTTAATTCAGATTTCAACTTTGTTATGTGCTAGCTGTTTGACCAAGGGCAAGCTACTTAAACATCTCCTTGATAAGACTTCCTGATCAACACATATTTCTTACTGCAGAAGGTAATAGTAAGGTATGAATGAAGTATATTCAAGAGGCACTGGTGAATATTATGAGAATGCACACTTAGAGATGATAAGGACATGGTAACATAATTGTTAGGAGTAGGGATATAAAGAAGCCCTCATCAGCCATCAGTGGCTTGTCACCATTCCATTGGCCCAAGTTAGAATGTGTGAATTAATTCATCACCATGGCTAAAAACAATAGGAAATCTTTAAATCATCAATCAATCAAAAAGTCAGTTGACAAACTTCCACTCTGTTCTCTTGATTACCTTGTCCTCAGTTAAAAAAAAAAAAAAGTCCCTGTGTATCTTGCTGGTATATTAGCATATTTGTGAAGATAAACATTTATATGGGAAAGAAGAAGTAAGAGTACTCTATAGTAAGCGGGTAGGGCCGCCAAAGACAAAGCAATGGCCATCAGCATTAGAGGGATAGAGATCCTTCCCAGAAAAGGTAGTCAAGGAGGACTCACAATGGAGGTGGTACTGTGGGCTGGCCTTACACGTGAACTGAATCTGAGTAGGTGGCGGGAAAGCAGACGTGTCATTGGTGGATTAGGTTAGCCGAAAGGTGAGGCTGGAAGGGAAGGATGGAGTCAGAAGCTAAACAGCCCTGAATAACAGTTGTAGATCAAGAATGCCTTGATCCTACAATAAGTGGGGGAGTGTGTCAAGGTTTAAGAATGTAAGAAATGTTTAAGAGTCAAAAAGGCAAAGAAACCTGAAATATTAGAGCTGGAAGTTACCTCATCCAGTTCAGCCTCTACCTGGGATTGAGGAGGAAACGGAGGTCCAGAGAAATGAAGTGACTTACCCAAGAGATCATGTCAGTCAACCCACGACAAAGCCAAGACTTCAACTCAGGTCCCTGACTCCCGGTCTGGTATTTCCCCCAACCCTCCATGGCCACTTCAGGAAAGGATAGCACATGCATGACTGATTTTATGGGTCATAGAACCAAAAAAGTCTTACACCTCTTACCCCGTCTCCTCACATGTGAGTCAGCCATCATACACACTTACTGTTGCTAAATTTTAAATTTGGCTTTAGGTGATCTAACAGAATTAGTCCAGATTTCTAGTGAGGAAAAGAGAGGAGCAAGAGTTAACACAGGCATCTACACTTGCTTTTCCAATAGTCAGAAATCAGACGATAACCTGCTTTTCTTTCACATTTGCTTCACTTTCTCTTCCAATTCCACTCCTTCCCCTCACCCACTGTTTAATCAGAGTCCCAGCCTACCAGCAGCCAAGTGTTTTCTTAAAAAATTAGAATTGATTAGGCCTTGATTAGAATAAAATTTGTTTTTACGATTCCCATCTTGAAATAAAATGTAAACTTCTGCTGGGTGTATCGAGCGGAGCCAAATAATACATGGATAGTGAAATTGTATCCCTCCATACAGCCCAGGAGTCACATGGGAGTGTGATGCCTGGACCCAGAGGTGCTGACGGGCCTGACAGTGTGATGGGCCGAAGGCTGGATCGTGATCAGTCTCGTGTGTTTCTCCAGAATGATTTCCTGGAAATAGAATTACCTCACTGTCCTGAACTCTTGGATGCGCCTTTGCTTGTGCATCTATAACTTGAGGGTGGGTACGTATGTAGATGAACCAGATGACAGGATGACCTTTGAGACACACAGCTTTATTCAGTTTTAACCAAAATGTCTCAAAGTCAGCTTTTCAGAATTTTACTCATTAGGAGAAAAAGGTCTATGCATTCTTGCCCTGTATGTAGTCTTAGGCCTCATACTATATCCCATACTTAGAGATCATACTTAGCTTATCAAAGGCTCCAAGAAGTTTTGCAGTAAGTAAACTGCTTAAGCAGCTGTTGCCCAAACATATTTATCATGGAATCCTTTCTTTTCCCCCAAGAAATCCCTAACCTAGTTTTCCTAAATTTATTAGCAGGGCAATAATGAGTGAAAACAAAAGAATAATTACCTGTGAGAACTGGGCAAATTCCTCAGCTACTAACATGAGAACATGATCCAGTAATTCATGACAGCGGTCTCTAGAGGAGAAAAATAAGAGGTGATAAATATGATCTATAGTCACTTAGAAATAGCTATATGTAGGGGTATCTATGGAAAAAAACTAAACGTGATATATGTTTTGACATTCAGGAAAAATTCCAGTGCAGCTTACCTGCTAGCTTGTTAAAATAATGTTATCTCGGAAAGTCCAGCTATTCAGAAGATAAATTCCTATACGAGACAAATATTACTACATTTGTACAAACAGGTTCGAAGATCATAAAGGATCCATGGCAGAAGCACTGAAGTCACATAAATTCCCTGTAATATCAACAACCCCTATTTGCATAATCACGTTGTCAGTAAAGTCCTTTCTTACACATTTTCCTATTGGAGTCATTCCTTTATTCTGGTTTTTATCTCCATTTATAGACAAGGACATGAAAACTCAGGGAGGCTAAGGAAGTGGATGCTGTGATGTGCCACCCAGAATCCCCTCAGCATCAAGACTCCCCTTCCTCCTGCTGATGAATCAGCACTCAGTCCCTCCCCAGGAAAGGGAGTTGCCTTGCAGGAAGTCAGACAGTCTTCCTGGGGTAGGCCACATCTACTAACTTATCAAGTAAAGGGTTCAAAGCTTCATCCCCTCTCCTCAGTTCACGACACCGCTGAAGGGCTGTTCCAGATTCACAGTTCCTGTTGCCTCTTCCCAGTCCTACTTGTCTCATTTCTCTTAGGTGTGGATCCCCAGGGCTCCCCAGTTAACATTCTGCATGCAAATCACCACCTCAGAGCCCAGTTCTCAGGGAACCCAACCTAATGACTTTAATTAACTTGACTAAAGTCACCACACTAGCAAATAATTTGAATGCAAATTCCATGCTCTGTCAGCACATCAATATGCCACTTGGCAGGTGGACCTTTGAGTGGATGTGTATTCCCGTCTCCTGCCATTGGGTATCTCATTTGCTCGCTTCAGTCACACTGGCCTCCTTTGCCTTCCTTGAACACACCAAACCCAATCCATTCAGAGCTTTGCACTACCTCTTCCCTCTGTCTGGAAATTTCTTCCTCTAGATCATTACATGACTGGCTTTTATTTATTTATTTATTTTTGGTCACAGGGTCATCACCTCAAAGAAGCCTTCCCTGACCATCCAATATAAGGTAATCCTGTTCTAGTCTTTCTTTCTAGCACACCTTTCTGCTATATGTTCATATTAGCACTTACTTCTCTGACATTAGCTTATTCATTTATCTGTATATTGGCTTCTCCCCTGATGTCTGATCTCTAGAAAAATGTAATCCCCATGATAGCAGAGACTTAATGAATATCCTCACTGCTTTGAAAGTAGTTCTCAAAGTGTAGTCCATGGACTGCTGATCAAACTATTTTCATAATAATGTTTAGACATTAAATGTCTTTTTCATCCTGTTGACATTTTGCAATGATCATAAGAAAGTGATGGTGGGTAGAACTGCTGGCTCCCTAGCACAAATCAAGCAGTGGCATCAAACTATACAGATAGTCATTGTGTTCCTCACTGTAATGTCCTTGCAGGGAAAAACAAAAGCAAGTTTCATTAGAGAATGTCCTTGATGAAGCAGTGAAAATTTGTTTTAAAATTGTGACTCGTAAGCATACATCCCTTTAATGGTCTATGTGATGAAAAGAAGGTACCCACAAAGTATTCCCCTTGCATAATGAAGAGTGATTGTGTTGAGGAAAAGCATTTGTGCGATTGTTTGGTATAAGCTATACTAGCTGTATTTTTCATGAAACACCATTGTTACTTGAAAGAATGACCAACAGTCAAACTATGGTTATTTGTATTTGGGTATCTGGCAGACATTTTCTCAAAAATGAATGAAAATGCCACTTCAAGGAAAACAGCTGACAGTATAGGTGCCCATGATAAATTTCAAAATTTCAAGTGAAAATTAGAATTTTGGCAAAGCTGCATCTGCCACCATCATTTTGACAGCTCCCCAATCCTTAAAGACTTTTCTGATTAAATTGGTGATATTAACAAATGTGGTTTTTTTTTAAATATAGTATATCTAGTATAAGGTGATGTGTCAACTTTTAGACTCCCTGAATAACTCAGGGAACTGTCATTTTCATAGTGAACAATACATGAAGTTACACAAGTATGCACAGTTAAAGGATCCATTCTGAGTGCAAGAGGGATCAATGGAGTTTAATTATTTTTTTTAATGGAACTACTGGGGATCGAACCCAGGACCTCTTGCATGCTAATAATCACACGCTCTGCTAGTGAGCAATACCCACCTCCCTTTAAAAAAAATGTTTTAATGGAGGAGATTGATGGATTTTAATGTAACGGGAAATGAAAAGTTAATTGATACGATTTCAAATTCTTCATTGCTACTAACTTTTAAGAACTTACTGCTAATTGAGTTTTATTTTAGCATCAGATTATCCAATTATCCAAAAAGGTTATCAAGTCACTTTCCCTTTTCCAACTTCATAACTATATGAGAAGCAGATTTTTTAAATATACTTTATCTGAAACTTTTATCACAACAGACTGTATGCAGAGTATTAACGCAGAGCTGTCAGATGAAACCAGATACTAAAGAAATTTGCAAAAACATAAAATGACATCACTTTTCTCACTAGTTTTTCCTCTTTGTTTTGAAAATAAGGTTCTTTTATAAAATTTATAAATGTGATTTGTGCTAATATATAATGGATTTATTATTCACTTAAAATCAATCAATTTTCTAAATGTCTTAGTTTCAATTTAGAAATTGGTAAATATAATCCACATAATAAAAGGTCTTTGGGGTCCTCAAAATTTTTGAAGAGTGTTAGGGTATCCTGAGACCAAAAAGTTTGAGAATCCTTTGGTCTAGAATGAGTGCTGGCATAGATTTGACATTGAAAAACTATTGAATGTTGCAATATTTACAAAAGGAAATACATAGATAATTTTTAAAATGTACTCCCAGTTGGATTATAGATCATGTCTCTGCATATGGCAAAACAGAATATTGTATCATCTGAGTGAATAAGTACACTTTCCCAGTGGCTAAAGTTGGTAGCTGTCAAGGAAGAGAATATCCATCCCAGGTTTGATGGTCTTAAAAGGAAATCTCCATTTCCTACAGACAGCCAAAATCTCAGGTATTTTTAGAATGCAGGAAGTCTGTTGGCTTAAAATTAGTTCTCATAGGCCTTGCCTTACCCAGTAGTGTTCTTCACCTGTAGCCAAGGATCATTTATGAAAGGGAAGAATCCAGCACAGTCCCAGACATTAACGGGCTCATGTCCATGCTCTACCCATTAGGCTGCCCAAAGACATGACGGCAAATGCTGTTTGAACAGGGAATCTGCTTTGGAAGGCCAGACACTTAAAGTCTCTCTCTAATGTATCAAATCAAATTCATAGTCAGGAGCACCAAGCTGCCCCTCTTCCTCAAGCTCCCCTCTCAAGCCAGGGCATCATAACCAGAGAGAAGCACATGAACTAAGATTATCAAGTGAATAGGGGACCCTTTGGCGGTGCCAATGGTATGAAAGCTATAATTAAGAAGTACTAAGTGAACGTTTTCAGTACTGAAACTCAAAGATGACAGTGGGGCTCCCCGCCCAACATTTTCTGGAGCTACTCCCGGGATTTTCAAGTTTTAAAGCAGACTCTTTCTATGATTCGCCAAATTTCTTTCATAAGAGAAGTACAGGAGGTTTGCCTCAAATTTTGGAACAAGAAGATTGCTTATATCTGAATTACAGCAACATCTTGATTAAGTAGAACCAAAGTAACAAGACCTTTCAGTTGGATAGACACTTTTTGTCCTGCATTTAAAAAACAATGAAGTGATAAGACCATAAATAATTTCATAAGGGGAAAGGACAACTTACAAAGAGTATCCAGGATCAAACATCCTTTCAGCTCAGTCTTTTCTGTACTTTGTACAGAAGTGTTCAGTGTAATTGCACTGAAGCATTCCATGCAATTGATATAATTAATAGAAATTACGGTTCAAAATGATGATTCGGAGGCATCAGAAATTCAGGCATTCATCAACTCCTCATGCATCTTAGAAAATCTATAGACGCAATTTATTATTGAACCTTTTGCATCATGTCTTGAGATAACTGAGAAGCCTATGACGTTTTACAAGGCTAGACTACAAACCATGGTGACACATTCCCCTGGAGTGATACAGTTGCATTATAGACACTATCAGTTAATAGTTTGTTACTAATAATACTGAAATATTGAAGGTGGATACAAGATCATCTTATCATAATAAAACAGAGATAGTAATTTTTAAAATGTAATGGCTTTTACTCCCTTTTCCTTCTATGCACTTGACCTTTATGCTACTTGACCGGGTCACCCATTTGATGGGAAAGTGGGGATGTCACAAAGGAGTCCGCAATTAATGTTCATTTACATTAAGGTTTCACAGCAAGAAAGAAGGTGTGATATTAGTGTTTTTGTTTGGAAGGTTTTCCAGTCCCTTTGTCTCTCTCTTAGCGTGGGCCACTCCTGAAAGAACCAGCTCTAAGACTGCTCCTGTAGGGTGGTGCATATACTGCTTCTACATGTGATAGGAGCTTGCCAATTCATAGTCACAGAGGATGATGTAAAAGGTGCAAAATAAAAGTTGCATCCCTTACCCCATATTACCAGACACTAGTCTCAGAAAACAAGGAAAGTAGAGATTGAAAGCAAAGCAGGTAGACGATGCGTCTAGATATTCTCCTCTCCCGCCTTTGGCCTGGAAGAAGGAAGCTACGTTAGGAAGGTGGAGATAACCCTGAGGAAAGAAGGGGGTCTCCTGTCTTTACCTCCCCGTTTGAGACTCTGGGAAGGTGCCAAGTCACAGACATCCCCGTGTCATCCTGAGGCACAGCCCACAGCAAAGCAGGCTTTTCAGGGCAGCCGACAGTGGTCTTGAGCTGAGGTTTTTTGAAGCTGCTTTCTACTCCCAGTGGGGTGAATGTGCGGTTTGGTAGGATCTTATCACCAGGGGAACAAGAGGAAGCCAGGTTAGCAAAGAAGAGGACAGACAATCCTCCCCAAGAACACCCCCAGGTCAAAGAATGGTTAACCTTAGAAACCAGCTCTTCTCCTTCACAAGGTCACATGAGCCACCCTCCCCTCCCTGTATACACCGGATTCCTCTTCCAGAGTAACCAGAGAGGTGATCAGAACACCGGAAACTCTGAGTCACTGAACACTGTCCAAAGGGACTATTTTAGTGAACAGATCCAAATAAAGTTTTAAAGTAGCTAGGACTGAAACTTAGCCCCCTGCCCCACTATCAGGAGGCAGACTGCAATTAGAGTAATAAGGCTGCATTTTCCTACACACTAAAATTGTTGGATGAGTGAGTCTGTGGTAGCTACCTGTGGGGGCTAAAATCAGTGAGGATTTCAAGGAGCCATAAGCATCCTGTATCTGCATCTTTGGAAGATTAAAAATACCCAAACTAAACTGAGGGAGGCATGTCAGTGACAAAGTCAGAAACAGACATAGAATAATTAGCGAATGAGAGAACAAGAGAAGCCCTTTCTTGAATTCTGAAAGTTTAAAGACTAAATGTTATTCCAGAGAGGAAAGGCCAATTCCAGCTGGAACTCAGACCATTAATTCACTGGTTGGAACACCTTGGAGAAAGACATGGGACTCTATAACAAGATCAGAAGGAACATAGTAGTAATGTGTACACCAAGACCTGTTTAAGAAGCCTCTGGAGGTTGAGAGCCACGTTGCTCTTGCTAGAGCTAGCTCAGCTAGCACCACTTCCTCTCTTAAATCAGGCGGGCAGGAGTCCTGGATAAGAATTCATAGAGGTTGGGAGAAGAACATGATGGGTGATTGGGTTGAATTATCAGCTCATATTTGCTATAAGTTACTCACTCCCAACACTATAGGACCCACACACGGTTTAGTTCTAAGGGATCTCTGTCTGCTCCAGTGGTGAGCAATTTAGAGGAGTCACGTAACCAATGTTAGGGGAAAGCCAAGCCTCTTTGTGGATTGAATAGTGACTCCTAGGGGTGGGAAGTGAGATCTTAGCACCAGGGTTTACCGAGGCCGGATTGGAGGACTGGGAGGATGGAGAGAAAAATAGATTTTAGATAGAGATCAGAACCCAACCAACTTGAAACATGATGGCCATTAGAT